CGAGCGGGTGCTGCTCGGCGGCGGGCGGCGCCCTGTCGCGCTGCCCCGGAACTTTATCCGGAGGAAGAGCCCCGAAGCGCTACTGACAAACTGGGGGAGCAGCAGCGCTAACGCCCTCCTGAGGACGGGGAAGGGGACTCTTGGCCTTCTCTGCTTTCGCTGTGCGCCTGCACAGTTGTATAGAACCGTGAGGTAGTCTTTGCGCCTTTATTTCATCCAGCGAGGCCGCAGACTGGTGTAGTGCGTTCCACACAGTGGTCTAGATTCAGCAGAATACCATAGCCTCGCTGGGGCTGTCTGGCCTGCTCTTGGGTGCCAAAGCACACAATGTCTTTTGCAAAGTTAGGGGTACACAGATGGTCAGACGCAGTCTCTGCCCTGAGGGGGGTGAAGGATGGTGGCGAGAGACTGACTGCATATACTGAGTGTAGTGGGAAAGTAGGGACTTCCTGCTGAGGCAGCGTGGGGCTGTGGGTGGTTCAGCCTGAGCGTCCGAGAGGAGCTGAGCTGTCACTGCAGCCAGATGCTGAGCTGTGTGTTGGTGCTGCTCTGTGGACAAGGGTAAAGGAAGAAACCCTGGCAGGAGCAGAGCCCTGCGGGGTGATGCCCACTGGCCTCTGAGGAAGGGGCTGTCATGCAGTGTAGCCCTGCAGAGCTCACAGTGCAGAATGGTGGGGTCTGTAGGTCCCGCCCCTGCAGCACTTGCTCTAAGCCCCAGCGTCTAGTCCTGTGGTAGGCAGTGTAGAGTCACTGGCGGCACTCCCATGAGGAATGACACCAAACTTTGCAGTGCAGGCTGGTCACTTGGGGGTTTGGTGGTGGGGATTGGGGTGAAAGACTAGAAGAATGCAAGTGGAGGGAAAGGAGATTTGAGGGTCTGAGTGAGTCAGCTGGGGCAGAGAGACATTCAAACCAGGATCTGAGTGAGAGAATCAGTGTGGCTTACAGTGGGGATGGGGGGTGGGGTGGGACACAGGGAGGGAGGGGCGTAGGGGTCCTGAGTACAGCCCTGAAGGGGAACACAGGAGATGCTCCCCCTTGAGAACCAGAGAAGGGTGGAGCAAGCAGCCCTGAGACTGTAGGGGCTGTGGCCAGCTGACCAGGACACTGCCCTTGCAGGACTGCTCCCGTCATCCCTGGCTGACTAAGCAAGGTGCGGGGTTTGAGTGCGTTGACTCCCTCCGCCCCCCGTTTTGATCATGCCTGATTTTACCACAGCTGTAGAGTTGTGACATTGCGGGTTCCCATGATGGCAGCACCTCGTGCCCAAACCTTAGGGCCAGGGCAGGGCAGGTTCCAGAGGGAAATAATGGTTGTGTTCTCAGGAGAGGGTGGCTTGGCAACTGGAGCAGAGAAATCCTACCGGCCTTTGCACGTTTGTGGCCACTGTGACAGCGCCAGGAGGGAGTTGGAGATCTCCACCTGAGACCTTGAGAGACCTTAAAAATAATTCCTTTGATTCCCTGTCCACAGACACCTCCGTCTGGAACTGAAATTCTGATTCCAGCTGGAGCACATTTCCAGTCCCCCAGCATCCAGTTCCAAGGAGGCGGGTGGGTGCTGAGATGAACTTACCTCTTGCTCCCAGAGAACACGGCTGATACAAGCTTGCCTTTCATTCTGCAGGCGGGAGGCAGCTCTGGGCTCTTGATGGACTTGGCAGCCAACGAAAAGGCAGTTCATGCAGACTTTTTTAATGGTAAGGATGGGGGAGTTGGGGTGCCACATTTAGGTGGATGTTTCTTCTGCTGGTTAACACAGTGGGCAAGATTGTGAATGAATAATTTGGATCATGGTGCAGTGAAGCCCAGACCCTGTGCCATTCTCAGTGCAGGGGGTGACACTGGCGGCTAGCTCTGGGAAATCAGACCTTTTTTTCAAGAGAAGATTACCATGCAGTTGCTCCCTGGTTCACATCTCAAAGGCCGAGTTTGAGCACTGTCTTCCACATAGGCTCACAGCCACCACCTGAGATGATGGCAGGATCCTGTTGGTTACCTGGACCGGGGTGCAAGAGCCAGCCTGGTGCTCTGCCTGCTGTCTCGGGGGGCTTCCATTTCCTTTCCTTCCCGGTACACCTGTTTGCCCAGCTGGATTCTTCTGTGTCCACTGTCTGTGGATTAGCGCTCATGCTCTGGCTTCAGCCCTTCTGTCTCTGAGGTCAGGATACCGGGTATACTCCCTTCTGCAATGTAAGGGCTTGCATACCAGGTACCAAGAACAGGAGGGTGACTGTGTTCTACATCAAAAACAATGTAGACTGCACTGTTCCCTGGAGTTACATCCCTGAGCCCTGGCTGGATGAAGCTGAGTCACTGGAGGGTGCTGTTCTCACTACGCTGTTTACTGTTTTTTCTCTAGAACTAGCATATAATTCATTGTGTAATGGTTTCCATAGTCACTTACTGAATAAACAGTAGAAACCTGACTTGAATACATTTTCAGACATGGTAGGGCAAATTTCTCTTGGCTTTCTGGTTTCTGAATGTCCATAGGTTACCTCAGCCTTACTTTTTCACAGTGCTCAGACAGTGAGTGGAAACAGGTATGTTTCCTACTGAAAGACTAAATGCTATTTTCTTCCCTTTTCTGCCCTGCTTTAATCATATGGTGTTTTCTCCTGCAAAGACCTTTTGTTACTTGTCAGAGGCAGCTGGGCCATGAGAAGCCAACCCACGTTGGTTTCTAACTTAGCCAACAGCTCTGAAGCCCAGCACCATGCTGGTTTGTCTGGCAAAGGCCCAGGCAGCCATTGCTATGAAAGAGAAAGTGGGCTGCTAGATTAGGGTGTGGTCTTTCCTGGGGCCTGACTGCTCCTCTGCAGCAGCATCCTGGTGGCCTCCAGCCAGTGTCTGAAGCACTGTCAGGGGAAGTGTTGTTAAGCTGGCCCTTGAGCCCAGCAGCCTTTCTGCAGGTGCATAGGGCCAGGTGGTGCAGAGGTGCGTGGTGTGCCTCGGGGTGACCTCCTGAGAATGGCAGCTCACGCAGGTGTCTGGGACACTTCACCTCATGGTTGTTTCATTCTCAGTACTGGCACTGTGGTCTGGTGCATTTTGATGACCTCAGAGACCCGTTTGTCCTCCACCAGCCCGCCCGTTGGGTTTGGTGTGATTAGTGGTACTCCAGGGACATCCATCTCCTGATGAGAAAGGTCGGAGGGAGACGTGGCCCTTAACCATGCGAGCTCTCCTTGCATTCACGCTAGAAGGAGGAAGCAGAAAAGGCCTCTGTCCACTGAGCTCAGGCGTGTGCACCTGCTGTCCCACAGGTGGTGCCCACCCTGGGTGCTCAGAAAGCTGAGAGAGGTGTGGGGGCTGCTTCTGGCCTTCTGCCAGGCCTTTAATCAGCAGGTGGGCTTTAGGGGCTGTCAGGGGGGTTCTAGTGCTAAGTGAGACTCACTCTTTCCTTGCTGGTTAAAAGTAGTGGAGGATTTAGACAGGGCCTTCGGTGGGCCAGGACCATGTGAGCCCAGGCAGACTGGCTGGGATTACGCCCTGAGTACACCACAGGTGGTATCTCTGGAAGTGACAGGAGTGGAGTTTGGATGTGAAGGGGTTCTCTGGGAATGGGGTCTAGACAGGCAATGCCTCATGCAGCAGCACCCCATGTAGAGGCTAGGAGGCAGTGACACAAGGATCAGTCCCTCTGTATGGCTAGAGACGTGTCAGGAGCATTGCCCATCTTCAGGAGAGCTGGTATGGGGCTGCCTGAAGCTCCTCCCCTCTGTGCTGTGGTATCACCTGGGGATGGCACTTTAGTACATTTTCAGGGTACCACCTCGAGGGCTGGAGTTGGCTTGTTATTTGCCCATCATGGAGGTGACGTGGTCAGAAACTTGGAAGATGAGTGGAAATAAATGTACATGTGGCTGTAGTCACCTCATGCGGAGTGTCATGTATTTGCCGCATATTCTCCGGCAGGAACAGGCCCAGTCTGTGGGTCGGAAGCTGAGCATGGCCAGGCTTCCTGCAGAGTTGTTTTCAGCATCCTGGCCCTTCTGCTGCCTTCTGCAGGCCTCTGGCACTTTCATTTTCCTGGTGCAGACGTGGGCCCTAATGTGTCCCCACATGCAGCATGGTTGCAAGGTGATCGTCCCTGTGTGCACAGTACATGGTGTGCTTTTCCTGAGGATTGTCTCATGAATAAAAACAATGTAGACAGCACTGTCCCCT